GCAAAGGAGCATGACCATACATACGTAGATTACACAGACATATACGAGCTTCAGTGAGCAGTATCGAGGTGAACTGTGATTTTCCGAGTCCTTTAGAGCTGAAAAAATGAAACCATCCATCCACGTTTAGGAGCGCTGGATAACAAAAAGCTTGTTTTGCTTTTATAAAGAAAATAACCCAAACAAAGCCTTGCATTGAGATGATGCACTTGTTATTACATCAAGTTAACTGGCCCGCCATTTTGGTCTTGAAGAGTGTGGGGACTGGACCGAGTTCCAGTCTAATCCTTCTCCCGTTTCGCGGGAATTTTTTCTGTTTTTCATCAAGTGTGTTCGAAATTCTAGAAAGCGATCTCTGTTTCAGGATAATTTTTCGATGGCACTTTATTCCTTTGGAGGGGTAAATGACCAGTGCAGTGTCACGTCATGGGCTGTGCAAGAAACAGGAATGCTTCCTTTGCTGTCTTGCGATAGTGACATGACTGCATAGTTAAAGCACAAGTAGAAGGGTTCAGGTGTGTCCGGGGAAGAAGAGGAGGAACTGGTAATGCCAAAGCTACAGGTGATTCAAAATATCAGTTAGGGATCATATACGCTCACAAATGGCATTTATCGTGATCTAGGGGACTCTTCTGACTGAAGAGAGATTTAGAGACCACGAGATGTAATTTACGATATTGTCGTCTCAAGTTGTTTGTTTATGGTTGATTGATTCCCATGTTAATATCCTGGGTCCTTGGGAAAAGCACTAAACATTCATCAAATTTGTCCAAAAAAAAAAAAAAAACAAGTGCGATAAGAATAACTTGAAGGCTGTTTTTTGTCTGCTCGAGCTGCTTGTTTACATTAAGCTTGCCACGTCCACACGCTTATCATGCAATGCACAATTCAGTTACCAGTTTCCATTATTTACCCTTTTCGTCAAAGATCTTTGCAAACATTTGTTTTGCTCAGTGAACAGTACTCTAGACACTGTTGTAGCATGTGGGTGGACTGAGCCCTCTCTTGGTTGGTAGGAATACAGAAAAATAAAAACGTTTTTTCAACGTTTCTGCCTGTAAAATGTTGCTGTTCAGTATTCTCCTCTATATACTGCTATTTAAGTTCTAGTATTTGTCAATTTTTTTCTAATATTCTTGATATTTTCTAAAATTCTTTTTCGTGTCTTAAATTCCCAAAACAATTCCTGCGGAATTATATAACTAAGCCTATTCTAAGTTGACTTGTCTTCGACGAAACAGGCAAATAAAGGAGACCGGTGGAGTTTCAATGCAAGCTGGCTCGAATTGTGCATTGCCAAACGTGACAAGCTGAATGTAAACAAACAGCTCGAGCAGACAAACAGCCTTCAAGTTATTTCTATTATTGTTATTGTTATTTTATATGTATAGTTCTTCCTCTTCTTCCCCGGACACACCTGAACCCTTCTACTTGTGCTTTAACTATGCAGTCATGTCACTATCGCAAGACAACAAAGGAAGCACTCCTGTTTCTTTCACAGCCCATGACGTGACACTGCACTGGTCATTTACCCCTCCAAAGGAATAAAGTGCCATCGAAAAATTATCCTGAAACAGAGATCACTTTCTAGAATTTCGAACACACTTGATGAAAAACAGAAAAAATTCCCGCGAAACGGGAGAAGGATTGGACTGGAACTCGGTCCAGTCCCCACACTCTTCAAGACCAAAATGGCGGGCCAGTTAACTTGATGTAATAACAAGTGCATCATCTCAATGCAAGGCTTTGTTTGGGTTATTTTCTTTATAAAAGCAAAACAAGCTTTTCGTTATCCAGCTCTCCTAAACGTGGATGGATGGTTTCATTTTTTCAGCTCTAAAGGACTCGGAAAATCACAGTTCACCTCGATACTGCTCACTGAAGCGCGTATATGTCTGTGTAATCTACGTACGGTATGTATGGTCATGCTCCTTTGCTGATGTGTCTTTAAAACAACTATTCAGGCTATTACAAGGTCACAAGAAGATTATATGTTAACGAACCTTTTGATAAGCTAAATTTATCTGGAAAAAAAAAAAATGGGCCTGACAAAATATGGAGACTTTCCATGCTTAGAGTAATGCTTGGAAATATGACGTGAAACCGACTATAAATCAAAGAAAAATTAAGCATCTTGTAAAAAGATTGTTATATGTACATCAGAACATCATCATTTGTGTTCTATGGTGGTTACTAGGTTTTCAAAGAATAAAATCACCTTTGTTTTGCTAAATTATGTGTTTGTTGCGCTAATCAGAGGCCTGTTTTAGATCAATTTTAAGGTGAGAATCGGTGTATTTCTAAACAACGAAACCGATTTGGCTTTGACAATTCATTTTCACTTACCAAATACAGAATAAGGGCTTCTTGTCAACAATTTGGTTTGCTTATGGCCTGAATTAGGCTCAAAATTCCATTTTGCATCGCCTTAGAGGGGCATGAAGTGTTTGTTCCAAAAATTCGATAAACCATAATAAGCCAAATTTTTCTCAACTGATTTTGATAACTGGGTGACTAAAGTAAACAGTGGTATAGGTTTGGAAGTTGAAATTTTGAAAAATGGCTATTTTGGGTTGTAATTTTAACATCAATTTTGGCCAAACTCTAGCCCCAGGCTCCTCTCTGTACAATACCTTGAGGACAAAGTTACATGCATGAACTGAACGCTCTATTATAGTAGAGTTCATGGTCAAATTCATTTGGCAGCACAATTTACCAGTGGGGTCTTATCACACTTTCAAAATGTCCCTTGGAAGCTGGATTTTTGGTGCTCAAAGGGCAAAAAATGAGACCCCCCCTGTAACTCCAAAACTGAAATTCAGAGAAGTGAGCCAAAGTGGCTTTTGAAATATCTCATTATACCCAACTTCTGTGCCAAGTTTCAGCCAAATCGGTTGACCTCAACTTTTGGCCCCTGGAACACTTTCTCAGACAATGACACTTAAGTTAAGGCTGTACATTTTTGTTAAGCGAACTTGCATATCTCAGTTATATTGACACACACTTTACGAACCTCGCAGTGATAGCTGCCCACTAAATATAATGTTATACTCACTGATAATATTTGTCATTATGTTACAACCGTACAGCCTTGATGAAATATTTTTAAGCAGAGAGTAAAAACTAGTCGGTTAATTACTTGGCCAATTAAAAGTCTGATCGTTCGAAATGATGCACTTTTTCTTTTGTCTTTTTCTAACCTTACTGAAGACTTCCTGCAGTAGTGTGTGATTGAACATGTGCTTCTGCAAATATAGGTCTTGCAGGACCAAAAAGGAAAAAAGAACCAATGAAATTAATTAGAGTTTTGTAAGTGTTATAAATTAAATCCGTGTTGCCGATAGCAACGCGTCCCCTAAATTCCCTAAGGGTATTTTGCATTCTAGCGCTATAGTTAAAAATTCAGTCTGAGCTAGCAGTGGACATGAACAGAGGAATTCAGATTTAGAAACGAGACCCGGAGATTCATGCTAGTGTAAGCAGTTTTTTTCTAAGAGTTTTTTCATCCTTTGAGCGAATATCTTATCAGCATACTTGGGTTTTTCCTTTTTCAGCGAATCATTCTGTGAATCACACTATTAATCCTCGAAATGTAGAAGTGAAAGCTTAAGAGGCGAGCCGATTTCGACGCGTGAATGCTAATTAACTTGAACTGTTAGAATACTGAGACACTAAGAATTAAATAATGAATCTTGAAATGAACAGCGAAAAGACGACAACAGTAGGAGCTGCGTAATATCTCGGGAGGGGGCTTGCTTCACGCAATTTTTGGTTTGCGACCAGGTCACAAGGTGGCCATGATGGTGGTACCTTGGTGGTCAATACAATAGAAATTTTTTTTTGAAGTATTTACATACAAGTAGAGTTTAGTTCCCAGAGGAGAGAAATGCTTTTGTTCTTAACCACCAACATGGCCGTCGGAACGTCACGTGCAAACCAGCAATCACTAATTTAGAAACATGGAGGTCGATGCGGCAAAGATTGTGGGCTTTGCGAAGACGAAAGCTTGTATCGATAAATTCGACCAAATACAAGTCAAGCAAATTGTTTTGAAGGATTCTGAAGGATAACAAGCAAAATAAAAGCGAAAATCGAGGTAAGGCAACAGAAAGAATATTTGCTCATTAGAAGTGACAAAATTTGGCAACATATTAGTCAATATCGTACTTCAACCATTGAAAGCCTGAAGATTAAAGTTGAACAGAAGATTTTAGTGACCAAAAAAATCAAATTTCACATGAAAGCTATTTCGTTAAAAATTTAAAAAAATTGTTTATTACCATTTTCTTAAATTATATAAAGTTGGCTTTCAAAAACGAGGATTCCTAATTGTAAACTATGTGCAAATTCATAAGAAAATCTGATGATTGGATTTTGCATAAACCTACTGAATTAACAGTTTTAGGCTCGTTTTAAACATCCATGTTGCCATGTCAACGATCAAAATCTTACGTTTAACTAACGTAATGTCTTGTAAATATATTTTGTCTTCACCAAATTTGAGCTTTACACCGGCCGAAGGAGTCTTAAGTAACACCCCAATGAACAGTAGCGACTCACAACCTACCAAACTGTCTTCAGCCAATGAAAAGATCGACGTTTGAACTGGGCCTTTGAGACATTTAACACTAAAATGTCAGAAGTTGTTTGAACTCTTACCACCATTCAACTGTGTAAATAAGACTAACAGAAAACGTTATTCAGACCCTCGAAATATCTGGGGTCTGTCTGTAAATTTTTCAGCTCGCCTTGAGTACGCAGCTACTTTCCGTTTCAATCATGTATAAGGAACGGGAGGCTTCTTCTCTTGACCAATACTTTCATTTATGGGGCTCTCTTTTAAGTGAGTATCTATTAAGTGGTAGCTAGTAACCATCTGTTATGTTTCAATACATAAAATTCACGTTTATTCTAAATAAATTGGATATGTCTGTCTCAGTGGTAATCGAAATTTATTGGATTATTGCATGGTAATGTCCTGAAGCTTTAAATATGTTAGCTTATTCAGCATCAAGCAAGTCTTTGACAAACAACAAAGACTGTTCGAGTTCTTTGACAAACTCCTCTTCATGTCTATAACAAGGGTGTTTAGAATTTGCATTCACTGTGATTGATATCGCGTTTCTCCCAAACATATAATGCAATGCCATTGATCCATCTGGCAGAATACACTTGACCCCAGGCCTTCCAATAGCCTCGATCTCAGGATACCAGCATGGATTGGAGGTCACGTTTTCAGCAACTTGAGGTGGCAGTATGTTGAGCAGCGGTGATCTGAGTAGATCAGCAACAGCTTGCCTAAACCTTCTCTTGATTCGTAGTTGTGGAGTATTCCTAAACGGAAGGCGGTTTGGCAGTCCCAAGTTTCTGTAAAGAGCGTCAAGATGCCAGAGGTTCATTTGGCCTTTCTTGTAACGCAAGACCTCATCTTTGTAACTTTCAATAGCTTTCTTCAACAGAGATTTAAGCAACACACGTTCCTGTTTTGTCATGGTTTGCAAGCTCCCTTCTGATTGGCGGGCTTTTTCGATGAATTTTTTCATGTCCGCCATACTGCTGTCCATGAATGTCATTCCACCAAACCGGAAATGCCTAGTACATAAAACACAAGGAAACCGGAAATGCTTAGTACATAAAAAATAATGAAACCGGAAATGCCTAGTACATAAATGAGGTAAACAACATATGAGCTGCTAAAGATAAATTACGCTCAATAACGGTGACTGGAAACCACACATTTGTGAAAAGGGGGGTAAAGATTGTATCGTTGGGGTCGTCCCAACAAGTTCCAACCTTCAAACTCGCTGTTGAACATAGTAAGCAATAGCCATTCCTGATTCACTGAGTACAGTCGAAACTGCGACTAACTCTCGTAAGTGACCCGAAAGGGCACTCCCATATATGAGAGCAAAGTATACAGAGTATGGTTTTTAAGGGCCTCGAACCTTAAACAGGGTATCATTTTGCCCTTGTCGCATGCATTTTGGTCCCGGTGTGATCCTTAGATAGGATACCTAAAATTCAAGAGCGTAAATGCCTAGCAACACTGATCTATTCCTTAGAGTATAAGGAAAGCGATTTCAGGAAGGTTTGTGTGTTATTTTTTGCTTTTCTCTTGAATATGGTGTCATCCTTAAAAAGGGTATCAATTTTAGTTTCTCATCCTAAAATAGGGTCAGGGTTTAAGAAAATTATGGGAGTATCCCCCCTGGGATGCGATCAACTCCAGTAAGCGGGCACCTATCCAAAACCAACAGTACTTTACAACAGGAATCTGCTGTCATTAACGACCACTACTAGTAAGCGATCACAACCAGGTTAAGGTGTCGATTTTATAGTTTCTCATTGTTTCAAACTCGTGTAAACAACCACCTGACACATAACTGGATATTTGTCAAGAAACTGGGCTTGTATCGCTGCATATTTCAGACTATCTTTTTTCAAACTTTCTGTTGCGAAGGCCATCCTTCACAACACCTAAATTTATCATTTTCCAGTCATCTTACACTTTGAATAAAAGATGAATTGTTTATTATTTTAAAAAATCTATTCACAAAACGAGACTACGGGAATGAGTTTCAACCAGAAAATGCTTTAATTAGGTATCATACAAAACCTCTCGTTGTAGGGAGAGATTAGCACTCTTCTTGAAAAGATGAACAGGAACTTGTCTTACCTTATACTAACGACTTCGTTGACACTCATACATCTCCCAGAGATCTTAGCAAGCGCAAGTTGCATACCAGCTTGAAAGGCTCCCCCTGGCGTCACACAATGGTCTTTACACATGGACTCAAAACTGAAACCAGCGCATATTCTGAATACGTCTTGAGACATCTGTTTAAACGGACCTGATGTTCGACTTTCCTTGATGAACTCTGCTGTCTTATGTTTGAAATATTCTTCACTTGTATCGTCCCAGATTATAGGTCTTACTTCTGGCCAGATCTCGAAGCCCTCATATCCTCCTGATAAGAGAAAAAAGATTGTGAATAGCACACTCCAAAATACGAGATACTCTGAAACCGAGCGAGACTTGGTTTATGTCAGTTTCAAATATTTGGTTTCAGTCCAACACTCACGGAACTTCCAGTTTTGCACTATTTCTTTTAAGCTAAAAATTTACCACCCAATTTGTGCTGAAACTGCAACATACCTAAAAGCTGATTTGCAAAAAAAACACTCTGTGCCTTTAACAACTACTTGCTTTAACATTCCTTCAATCTTAGCAACCTTCAGCCACCTTGGCTCCCAAATATCTCTGAATTTGAGCTCCATGGTCTCCACAGGACAAGCTACAGATACACATGCGTCACTTGCAAAACTTTTATGCCACTTAATTCATTAGCAAGTATCCCCTGCGCGCTCAGCGAAAATTATGTCTAACTTTAATATATACGCTTAGCCAAGGCCAATAGCCCTCGTGGTACTTTTAGGAACTGTCTTTCTAAAGTAAAGTTTCTGAGCGTGTGATTACTTGAATACCTTAACTGTTAGCGGACAACTTAAAAAACACGTCATCTCAATGGGTTGCACACATGGTTAGCGGGTACCCTATCTTGACAGCTGTCAATTGATCATAACAAGATTGTCCAATATCAAGTTAAACACAATTTGTATTCTTGGACTTTAAAGGTAGCACCCTTTGTTCTTTCACGTGTAAATAAAACTTCTACAACTCGTTTGTCTATTTCTTAATACTGAAATAAAGACAAAAGTAATATGACAAAAACTCTCAGTACTGAACTTCAAGGGAGCAGAACAAGTTTCAGTAAAATTTATGTCACAACGTAACCCACCGTCTTCAGTTTCTTCTCCAGCAAGTCTTTCATTTTTCACTGCAATTCGCACAAAGTTCGTCCCTACCGTACCAGTCATTCCAGCCAAATAGTTATTGACAAATCCCGCCACACCATTACCAAACACAACCAGCTGTACGCTTTTGTCATACCAACGGTTTACGAAGTTTCCCGAATGTAGCTCGAACATGGCTTCGTTAGCTTCTCGGGGAGAAGTGTCAGGGTCGAGCGCCACAACGAAAAGAGCGTCACGGAGCAGTGAAAGATTATCAACGTTTTGTTGACTGAGGCACTTGAGGCGCTGTTCTTCTTGACATCTCTCAGATGGAGTCAGGCTTGTGAGAAAAGCTGTTGGAGTCGATTGTTCTCTTGACGCGTCCGTTTCTATGATGGATTCGAATTTCTTCTGGAACCAAATTAAAAAAGTGTGTTATAGCAAGCGCGCACGTAAAGAAAGGAAGTAATTGTCAATTACATTTGCTCGATGTTTTTTGCCTTTCCTGGTTGCTACAGAAACTTCTTAAAGACACGCTTTCGATTGACCTGCACGAATCCAAACCTCTTATTTCATTGGTCCCTATAACCTGCATTACCTATTGTTTTCAGGGATATGGGCATTGTTATGTCACCATCCCTATCGTTTACCCAGCCAATCAAAAACCTTGTTTGTAGTAGGTGCAGGTCGGCCCGAAGACTCTCCAATTTTTCGAAATATATCTCTTTCAACGTCTTGAAAAAGCAAGGTTAAAAAAAAGAAGAAAAGAAAAGAAGAACCATCATTATGAATGATATGAACTCATCCCCCTGAATTGAGTGTCAATTTACACACCCATTGGAAACTGGGGAGAGATTACTCTAAATTGACCTCAGTTTTTTACATTTTTGTTCATCTTTTCAATTAGCTATTAAAGCCCAAGCAGCTTAATTAAAGAGTAATTATTTTCGGTTGTTAAACTTGAAATATCCTATCTGTACTTTTGGCAGTGGGTATTTTTAAAACTAACTGTAGAGCAAAATTTCAAACGTTTATCAACCTACTTTCAGCTGGCTTTTTGTGATAATCTCTTCTCGTCCTTCGTCGTCGTTGCGAATCAAATCCAGTTTATACATGTTACCTCGTATCATTACAATAATGTGTCTCGAATGGATTTCAGGAGCTTTGTAGCGCTCAATGGATCCTGGGAAGAATTGCATAGAACAGGAAAAGACATAGTTATACCACTGCATCGACAGTGCTGTTGTTTTCATCACATCTTGGGTAAATTCAGTGCTTCTATACAAATCTCTGGCTTTCATGAGTCCGTCTATTAGAGAACTAGCTCGTTCAATCATAATGTCTCCGCAATCTTGCATAGAAACTGCTTGTGAACTGATGTCCTCACCAATGCCCCCATCTACGGATGTCCCAGGATGCTTTGGGCTCCCTCGGATAAGCACTGCATATGACGTCACAGGTTGTGAAGGGATGATGTTCTCGTGGAAGTATATTTCATCATGGCGAATTCCAAATGTGTCTCCGTGATTTGAGGGAGCATACCAGCAGTTGTTTAGGAGGTCATCGCAGTGCCTTTTGTGCAGTCTGAAAAAATCCAAGGACATTAACTGTTTTAGAGTGATGTCTTTTGTTTGTCTGTTTGTTTGTTTGTTTTGGTTTTCGAGATAATTACCCACCGAGCCAATGCTGCTCCTCAAATGTACCAAGAAAAGGATTGGGGTTGGGTTAAAGAATTAAGAGTAGGATACAGTTAGATGCTGCAAGTAGTTTTGAGTTTACACTGCGTTGAGTGCTCCATTGCAACGCTTTGCGGTTAGCTTCCACGTGACCTTTTTAAAACAAGTAATATTTTTTGTATAAAATATTTTCCCTTTAATGAACTTCTTCTCTTGTTTTTTTCAAATGTTATCAAATCTCCTAAATAAAATAACAGGGTGGAAGTTAGATTAAGAGTGCAACCATTGCATTGACGCGTTTTGACGCGTTTTCACACAAATTTCACTAGCTTCCTTTTCAGAAAATCGGGTACTTAGGGATAGACCATTTCATTTTACTTTTTTTTTTTTGGGGGGGGGGGGGGGGG